GGTATGGTACGGTATGGTATGGTATGGTAAACGTGATATGGCATGGAATGGTATGGTGTGTTACGGTACGGTACGGTATAGTGTGGTATGGTATGGCATGGCATGGCATGGTATGGAATGGTATGGTATGGTATGGAATAGAATGGTATGGTACAGTCCGGTATGGTATAGCATGGTATGGCATGGCATGGTATGATATGGTATAACATCGTATAGCATGGTATGGCATGGTATGCTATGGTATGGTATGGTATGGTATGGTATGGTATGGTACGGTACGGTATGGTATAGTGTGGTCTGGCATGGTATGGCATACTATGGTATGGTATGGTACGGTATAGCGTGGTATGGTATGGTATGGTATGGTATGGTACGGTACGGTATGGTATAGTGTGGTCTGGCATGGTATGGCATACTATGGTATGGTATGGTACGGTATAGCGTGGTATGGTATGGTATGGTATGGTATGGTGTGGAGTGGGATTGTTGTAGTGTGGTATGGCATGGAATGGTATGGTATGAGACGGCATGGTGCAGGATGGTATGGAATGGAATGGTATGGAATGGAATGGTATGGTATGGTGGTATGGTATGGTATGGTATGGTATGGTATGGTATGGTATGGTATGGTATGGTATGGTATGGTATGGTATGGTATGGTATGGTATGGTATGGTATGGTATGGTATGGTATGGTATGGTATGGTATGGTATGGTATGGTATGGTATGGTATGGTATGGTATGGTATGGTATGGTATGGTATGGTATGGTATGGTATGGTATGGTACAGTGTGGTGTGGCATGGCATGGGATGGCATGGCATGGTGTGGGATGGGATGGGATGGGATAGTATGGTATGGCATGGTGTGGTGTGGAATGGTATGGTATGACATGGTTTGGTACTGTACAGCATGGCATGGCAAGGTATGGTATGGTATGGTATAGTGTGGTATGGCGTGGCATGGTATGGTACAGTGTGCTACAGTATGGTATGGTATAGCATGGTATGGTCTGGTGTGGTACGGTACGGTACGGTACGGTATGGTCTGGTGCGGTATGGCATGGCATGGTACGTTTTGGTATGGTATGGCGTGGTACGGCGTGTTACGGCATGGTGCGGTACAGTACGGTACGGTGTGGTGTGGTGTGGTATGGCACATTGTGGCACAACATGGTGGAAGATGACACAGCACAGCACTTCCCGGCACAGCGTGGCACAGTGTGGCACGGCACGGCACAGCCCGGCACGGCACAGCCCGGCACGGCCCGCGCATGGCGGGGGGCTCCATCCCTGCTGGTCCCGCTCCAGGCCGAGCTCAGGGACACCGTCCCCATCCCCGCCACGGCCCGTGGCCGCCCATCAACCCCGGCGGTCGGTGTCCCCAAAACGCGGGAGGCGGGCAGGGATGGC